AGGCACCAAATTTCTCATCTTCATTGTTCATGTCAGATTCTTGAGTGGAAGAGCAGGTTGTATCAACGTCCTGTTCTTGGTCGTCGCCAAGAGTGGGGTCATCTGCTTTGGCCTCCCCTTCCCCTTCCACCAAGTCAAGCGCAACTAGACAGTTGCTGCCACGAAACCGCCCACGAACAAAAGTATTTTTGTTGCTTGTTGCGGTAAGGAGGTCTCCTGCCTCTAGACTGACTACATCCTTCATTAAGGAAAACCAGTCAGTGTAACCAAGAAATCTCTGCCTAGGCAATTGGTTAAGTGAGTGGGAACCGTACCTTTAACTACATCCAAACACGATTGCGCAGTCAGCTCCAATCCTGACGTTGCAAAGAGCTTGCTGGCATGCAATTGCAATTTGCGTACGGTGCCTTGCCACATGCTGCGCTTGAGCTCATCAAGTTGAATCCTTACTCTTGCCGCAACATGCAGATCTTTATATTGCGCTACTAATATCCTCGAGAGTGGTAGCCGGAGTGACTTTAAGCCACTCTGATAGGTTGATCTTGGAATACCTAGTTTGCATGGCTTGGACTTCAAGGAAGCCTCTTACAACAGACTCAACATTCGTCCCTAGGATCAAGGACTGGTTCACTCTTTGAGTGCCCTGTAACTCAAAGTAGGCTCTCATGGAGTTGATCCAGGATTCTACGTCCTCCTTGCCATCATACCTAGATGGTATAATCACTGCTTTCCTGTCCGTGTATGGACTGCTATACCTGGAACAACTATTGCTGGATCCGAACCCAGGACTGCGGCAGTTGCAAAACTTCCTGTCGCAGGTCCTGACTGATTAACCACCAAACTCAACGAAGAAGACTGAGAAGAAGGAGAAGAATGGAGAGGTGCAAAGGTAGAATGGGGAAGAGAACTTGAGAATTGGGCCCGATGCATGGTTGCCATTTGCTGGATCTGATCGCGGTGCTCTTTGACCATCTTTGTCATTTGAGTACGCATCTGACTCATTTCTTCGAGTAGTTGGGACTTCACACTTGGAAGTTGCTGAGCAAATTGTATTCGACAAGGGCACGTGCATACGTGACAAAATCCTTTTTAAGGTCTGCATCAGATATAGTTAGAACTGTTTTGAAAATAACCTCAAGTTTGTCAGCGGCTGTTTTCCGCTTTGCCTCTTCAACCTTTTCCTCCTCAGCCAATTCTTTTTGATAGACGGCCTCATACAACGGTTTATCAACCTCACTCGCTGCATCCATGAGAACCTTTAACATATCAGAAAGTTTAGCTGATACCATGTCGAAACTGCTAACTCTCGCTCTCCTCTCTTGTCCGTGCGTCTCTACGGGCATGTAGTGGACTTCAACAAAAGAAGCAAATTGAAAAGTATAGAAGAGAAGGTAGAACTCCTAGCCGGAGCGGCAAAATATTTGGACTAGAGAGCAAGAATAATCAAACAAATACAATACATTCAAAAGAGAGTTCTGATTACACGTTGAAGTCCGGTTAGACCAAGTACAAGATCCCCTTGAGCCTAATACAAATGGCATTGTCAAAGTACAACAAACAAGACTACAAGTAACATCATACAACAATGGAGAATTGAGTGGTGTATAAGGTGCGGGTCAAGCATTGGATTGTGTGTCATCAATCTGACAAAGCATCTCAGTCAAGATCCCCTCGGCGGCGAGGGCTCTAATAAAAAAGAAGAGTATCGTATCCCAGATATAAAAGAGAACGACACTGTGTCGACATATTTGGGTCCAAGGGGCCCTTCTTGCTGGGCCCGGTCCCACTGATGGGTCCCAAGTAGGTCGCGACCAAGTCCCAAACAAGGCGAGTACCTCAAGGTCCTACTTTCTATCTCTACCGTACTGAAAAACGAATCTCAACTTCAAGAGAGAACCTACAGACTACATCCATTCAGAGATGAAAAGACAAAGCACTGTAGAAAGATATGGCTTTTCAAAGCAAGATACTTCATTTCTACATCCATCAGGTTAGTAAGTAGTTTGCACACCAATGCTCACAACCAAGACTTCAGAGGAGTAGGAAGGAGACCCAGAAGGACCCCAACATGACAAACAATACCATGCACGCATACACGGGCAACCCTTAGGTGCACGACACTTACCTGAGTGACCCAGACTCTGAGATGAAGTAGAACTCACCCCCCTTCCTCATATGGTCTTCCGAACCCTATTTGCTACCTCTACACTAGTGTCCTATCATGTAGGAGGGTCTCACTTCCAACACCAAAGTGCAACGCCGGATCCCCCCCCGATGCTGAAGAACAAAGTAGTAACTTGCAGTCCGTAGATGCATAATGGCTACCTCCCTCAAGATCGCCTACTTGAGGGAGGTCCTCAAGTCACCAAGTGTCTCCCTTAGGTCAGATTCCAGGTGAGAGTGCCTCTCACTGTCCCCTCTCTCAACTTGCCGCATGAAGTCCTCTTGATGTGTCTCGCCACCACATACTTACTCTCAATCAACCTGGTCAGGTTCAGTGTCGACCCAACACGACCTAACCAGGTGGGGGCAACTTCCCTATACCACGCTGCCCCACTTCCCACTTCGGACCAACCCTAACCCTAAGTGGCTTAGCCCTTACCACTTACGTTAGGGTTAGGGTGGATAAGTTAACTCTCACCAGCATGTAGAATCCGCTATGATACCAATGTTATGATCCTGGCGAATTTCGAAGTACACATTCATCAAATAGTACAATGCCGTCCAGTTGCAAAAGAAATGAATGAACTTGAGAGGAGAGAGAGGGTGAGAAGAAGAAGAAGAAGAAAGAGAGAAGAAGAAGATGATGTACACCAGCATAGACAAATGGTAATGCTCTTCTTCTTCGCCAAACACTCTCCTCCTCCTTATCTCATCCGCTCTTATTCACACAAGAAATAATAATACACTGTTGAATGGCTAAACCAAAATCAATGTTCGAATCCCTCTTCTACTGCAGGTATCACTTGAGGTCCACCATAGCCATGGCTGCCTCTCTCACTCTTCACTCTCATAGGCCGAGGCTATGGCGGACTACTAGGCCTTGCCATGATGTCCAAAGGACAACCCAAAGCAGCTATGGCTGCTCTAGCTCAGGCCACCATGCCTGACTCTGCCTCGAAGTTTCTTGGTGTAGCTCTGCCCCAACGAGGACCTCTCGGGAGCCGTGTCTCCAGGGGCATTCTCTTGGCATCGAACCAATGACATTGGGGTGTCTCTCGGGAACATCTACCTCTTCAGGGTGTGGTACCGGCCTACCTGCTACATGAGTGTTTCCCCGCTGCTTCAAGTGTTACGGGTCTCTTCCCCCGCCACTTGAGAGTGTTTTCCCCACTGCAATCCTCAATGTCACGGCCACAGGTAAGTACGGGCCCTGAGGGCCCAACGAATGAACAAGTGCCCTCCGCTCTTATTCACACAAGAAATGATAATACAACGTTGAATGGATGAACCATAATCAATGTCTGAATCCCTCTTCTACTGCAGGTATCACTTGAGGTCCACCATAGCCATGACCGCCTCTCTCACTCTTCACTCTCATAGGCCGAGGCTATGGCGGACTACTAGGCCTTGCCCTGATGTCCAAAGGACAACCCAAAGCAGCTATGGCTGCTCTGGCTCAGGCCGCCATGCCTGACTCTGCCTCGATAGCTTCTTGGTGTAGCTCTGCCCCAACGGGGACCTTCCTGCCGCAGCGCCCACCAAGGTGATGAAGATGGCTGCCACCATAGCCAGGTAAGTACCTCTGGCGCTCCCCCTTCCTCCTGGTCTTCTTCCTCCTCCGGGTCCTTGCTCCGTCCCCAGCAGCACTGCTCCAAGCTAGCGCTGCTCCAAGCTAGCGCTGCTCCAGCCAGCGCTCCAACCAGTGTGTCACCAAACTTGCACACCGACAATGAGGCTGGGCTCTTCGCCCGACCTGGAGATATAGCGGCCTGCTTGCCTCTTGAGCAATGACTTCCAGGCCGCTCGGCCTTCCAAGCAATCGGTACCTCCTCCCTTTCGGAGGGAAACATCATTGCAGACTCTGATATTGCCCGTACAGGCCCTAGACTCAGACTGGTTGGACTAGTACCCACCTAGACCTAGCCTACAACTACTGGGCCTCTAAAAATGCCAACTTTTGCCTTCTTCTGCTCGGCCTCGAGTACCCGGCACATCTACCTCTTCAGGGTGTGGTGTTTCCCCGCTGCTTCAAGTGTTGCGGGCCTCTTCCCCCACCACTTGGGTGTTTTCCCCGCTGCAATCCTCAATGCCACGGCCACAGGTAAGTACCGACCCTGAGGGCCCAACGAACGAACAAGTGCCCTTGCGGGTCACGCACACACTCAAGCCAACAAGCACTCAGACAGACATGCAGACCAGCAAGCGTGCACACACACAGACTTAGAGAACTTAGTAGCAAGCGGGAAACTCAGCAAGGCATTCAGTCCATGAGCAAAACTCAGAAATCAGCTGTGTGTCTCAGTCTGTGTTTGGTCAGGTCATCACGCAATGGTAGATAGATCAGTATTGCTCTGGTGAGTCAATAAAGAGATGGACACCCAATCATGTGTAACTTCTTTATGTAGTGGAACCAATTCTGCAGATCAGTAAAGTATGCTGACGATTATGATGTCATAGAATGGATTGGATATCTATTTAACAATTAGCAAGTGGCAGTGACTTCGCAACATGCTGTTGCGTCTGCTGGAACTGTGGTGTACGCAGAAGCATGTCCATTGCTTTGCGGAACATGTCTTACCTAAGTTCGTGCTCCTCTTGCATCGTTCTATTTTTGTGATTTACTAGTTGAATTCTGCTGTGCTGAAGCAGCAAGCATGGCTGAAGCTGTAGTAACAGCAGCATTTGCGGGGAAAGCAGCAGGTCTCCTTGTGGACCATTTCATATCTTTTGCAGATGACCTCTTGCAGTTACTGAGGGCTATACCATCTCATGAGAAGGTCTGCCAGGAATTGAAAACGGATATTGAAGTGACTAAACTGCGGTTGCAGAAGCTTAAAGGATTGCCTCACACAGATGCTGACCTTCAGAAGTGCCATAACAAGGTGGTGAAGATGGTTCGAAGCTTGGAGAAAATCAAAGAGCCTTGTCAGCAGCGTCCATCCTGAGGTAAACTTAAGATGCACATGATGCGACTATACTTTCAGAAGCGTCTGCAAACCCTGCAGTCTGATCTAAAAGAGCTGCGCAATTTGATAGACAGCTGTTTGGTTTGGGAAATCCATGGGAGAGTTGAAGCCTCCTCAAGCAGCAATCAAGCTGCTTCTGGAGCGAGAAGTTTTGTGCCAATGCCGATCGAGGACCACATATATGGGATTGACGAGGACGTCACAGTGTTGATAGCGACTCTGGAGTCTTCCAACGGACCGGACATTGTGTGCATCCATGGCATGGGTGGTGTTGGTAAAACTACTCTTGCAACTCAGATTTATGATAGTGGAGAGATCAGGCGGGAGTTCAGACATGGAGTGTTCTTTATGCCATGCGGGCAGGATATGCCTGCACAAGCTTTGATTGATAAGTTCTGGACAAGGATGCATGGTCATGCTCTTGACACTTTCTACAGTGACTTAGAGCAAGAGTCAAAACTGAAAACAGCGTTGCAGGGAAAGAGAGTTTTGATAGTGATAGATGATGTCTGGCACACTGAACAGATTGCATGGACGGAGCGCAATTTCCCTACAAGATGTGGAATTATCATCACAACAAGAGACAGAGATATAGTAAGAAAAGCAACGTTGACTCATCTGGTCGAGCCATTAGGAAGGAAGGAATCCTTCGAGTTTTTTTGCCAGTGGGCTTTTGGAGGGAAGGACCCTATACCTGAGCTGGAGGAAGTGGTGAGGAAGGTGTGCGAGAAGTGTGATGGGATGCCTCTTGCACTTCGTGTCGTGGGGTCCAACATTTCACCAAGACACAAAGACATTGAGTTTTGGGAGAGTTGGCTTGATTTTCTAGAAAGATCAAACCCATCCCAAGCGCACTCAGGTGCGAATTGCGACATCAAGAACCTTATTATGAAAGTTTTTGAAAGATCCATCAATCCACTTGCTGACACAAGCAAACTGGATCTTTTGGACATGTTTCTCGACCTGGCCGCACTTCCTAAAGACCATTTTGTCCCAATTGATGTGATCGAGGTACTATGGTCAGTGTATCCATCTGTTGGCAATATGCATACAGCCATGGAGCGGTTGAGGACGCTCATCAGATTAAATTTGGTCGATGAACGCAACAACATTATTGTAGGTGTCAATTACATTGGTTTGCATGATATGATCCGACAACCAGCAATTGATGTGACAGCCATGTCGAAGACAGCCCCACCTGTTGTGTTGGGGCGGCCAAATGACCATTGGAATAATGGCCGTTTTGGGGACTTGCAGGAATCTCAGATCACTTGTGAGTCCGCTCAGTTAGAGCGAATGTTCATTACAAAGTACCAGACCGTCGCACCAGATGCGAATCGCTGTCTGCATGCAAAAAAGCTTATGTGGATAGGGTCTAAGCCATCAGCTCAGGAAAACATTTTTTCATCATGTACTGTAATGCCAAACTTGGTCAGTTTCTATTGGTCCATATTTCACGACCCCAAATTCTGTGCTCGAGCAAGCGGTGGCCCAAGGGCAGAAGAATGTGATTTGTCAGTTGGGCAGTTTTTGGTAAGAATCTGCAAATTGGATGGCAGTTTCCAATTGTCTTGGGAACGGTGTCTAGAATTTTTATCTGGAAATAAGGAGGTGCATGAGCGTTCATCCACTGCACAGTTTCTGAATAGAATCCGGGAGAGCAGAAAGCTGCAGGTCATGATCTTACTCCATTTTCCAGAGCCAGGCGCAATCCCGGACGACTATTTCTCATCGTTTCACGATCTTTGAGCTTTGTGGATATTGTTTTCTGTCGGCTATCCCAGAATATGTTTTCCATCTTCAATCGGATGCCTACATCGACTGCAGGTGCTCATCCTAACCGTCCCCAAACGGAGTGGGAGACTTTTTTGTTGAACTCACATCGATGGAGCAGCTCACTCAATTAAGAGTCTTGAAAATGTACAGAGTTCACTTTTCCTGCAATGGCGCTGACAGACTAGTCCTGCCCAAACTTTTGCAATCACAGTTCGTAGAGGATTTCAAATCCAACTGTGTTGTGGCTTGGATGATGAAGTTGGTGGCGATTCTCTAGAGGAATGTTTGAGTGAAGTTTTGGATGAGGCAATTCCGAAATCGTCTTCTATCGGAGAATTGACCAGGTTGCGATCCGTGCTACTAACCGGTTTGAGAACAATCAAGACAATTCCTGAGGAGATCGGTAATTTAACCAAGCTTGATAGGCTTTGCATAATAGGTTCCCGGCAACTTCCCGCTTAAATTACCTTCCATCTTCAATTGGTCAGTTGACATCCTTGAAACTCTTGCAAATAGCAGGCTCGGCACTGAAGTCGATTCCAGATGAGATTGTTCGCCTACGCAAGCTCACGTGTCTGGCAATCACAGATGCTGAGTTGACGGCACTGCCTTCAACAATCGGTGAGCTTTCAAGCCTGTCCGATTGCGATTTTTCAAATTCTGTGAAATCCCTGGAGAGTATTCCCATGGGATTGTGGATGCTTACCCAGCTGCGACAACTGGAACTTTCATCTTTGGGACAGAATATATCGCATCTGCCAGAAGAAATCAGGAATTTGGTTGAGCTTACGGAGTTGGATCTGACCTGCTCTTGCTTGCACACGTTGCCGTCATCAATTGACCGTCTAAGCAAACTGGTGTCCCTTGACCTGTCGCACTCAACTCGGCTTTGTGAGCTGGGCAGTGGGATCACAAATATGGCAAAACTGCAATTGTTGAGTGTAGAAAGCTGCAATATGTTAAGAGGCATTACCAGAAAACATTGGAAACTTGGCAGCACTTACCGGTCTGGAGGCCACTTCTTGTTTGAAGCTCACAGAGTTACCTGCGTCGATCACCAGCTTGCAGAATTTGAAAGTAATTGCTCTTGGTGGTTGTGTCGACTTTACAGAATTACGACCGGGTATTTCGAACCTAATCAGGTTGGAGGTGTTGGATCTGTCACACTGTGAAAGGCTGACAAGTCTACCCACAGAGGTTGGAAGTTTGATGGATCTGCGTAGGCTAGATCTTTCATTCTGCTCTCAACTGACAAGTCTGCCAGAAAGCACAACACAATTGACTAATTTGGAAAGCCTTTGCTTAACTGGCTGCACAAGGCTGATAAGCCTGCCCATATCCTTCCGAAACTTGAAGCACATTTTACTCTGTGAGGATTATTAATGTGCACTTTTGGAGCTTGCGATGGGCTGGCTTGAAACATTTACTAATGATTCTCAAGCTAGCAGGAACCGAGCGGCAAAGAAAAGGTGTTCCTATTGTCTTCCGATGAACTGCAAAGGTCTCATACGATAGGTAGAGTGCAAAGGTTGGAGGCTGGTAGAGGCAGGAGGAGGATGGCTGAGAGATCAGCCAATTGTTACCTGGTGATGTCTCATGAGACAGCGTTTGTCCGCTCTGAGCAGCATAGGACTACGAGCACTATGTTGCACTAAGGATGCCGTTGGCCGATCAGTCAGGAATGACGGCAGCACCTTCAGTGTGTATTTTGAGGGCAAGCAAAAGTGCCGAGTGTTTTGCTTAGCAGTGCCTGCCCCAATTAGGGCTGCGCAGATCATGTTCCTAAACTCATCTGACTTGGAGACGGCTCAAGAAGCCTCAAAAGATGGCATGTAAACGTGGTGCGACATCCACAAGGGCTTACTCCTGCTCGATGCCCTTTCCACATTAGCATATCATCTATTGCAGTATGACTAGTGTCCATTTCCTTCGGGTAGAAGCAGCGTATTTGCTCGACGACCAAGAAGTATCTTCAATCGCTTCTTTAGCTGCTAGTCTTGGACTGAAGTCACCGAACACCTGGCATAGCCACTTGGATCTGATAGCGCACCGCAACATAAACACTGCCATGTATCCTCTATTCGATGTTTTCAATAGTGGCGGGTGGCAGAGTGACAGCAAATGAACTGGTGCTGGTTATTACTCTAGTGCTGATAGTCCATTGCAGGTTGATAGCAGTCTCTGAACAGGATAAGAACCAGTCGTTTCGTCAGTAATACTCAGTATCGCATCTGCTCAACTATGCTACCGCTTGTTTCTGATCAGCGCTCAAATGGAGAACGTGTACTTTTGTGTCGCACAGGAAAGAGAAGGCTTGTATATCAAACACGTAACAACAGTAACATGTACGATTTCTGAAGAACTTACCAACAGGCAGTGCCATCTGCGTCTCAGTTACAAGGACTTCTATTTGAGAATGACTTTGTTTGAGAGCTCTTCAGGGATGATTATTGATAAAGCCTGCGGCAGTGCTTCGTTTTTTTTGATTGGTCGCTGAACGGCTCCTATAGGCCGTCATGTAGCTAATAGCAAGGGTTTATTTCCCATGGAGGGGAGAGCATATCAACAGGATAGAGTATGACCAGGGCAGCAGCACCTAGCCTACTGCTACCATGCCAACAGCAGGTACGTCTTCCTTGCACTGACTGTCCTTACTCGTCTGCGTTGGGGATGCAATCCGGATGGTTTGGGTTGCAGTCTGTCCTCTGACCTTACCAACGTGTTTTTCTGTGGGTATGTATGCTCACAATAATGGGTCTCACTCCATATGACAGAGAGGAGCAATTCTTCTTCTTCTTCTTCTTCTTCTTCTTCTTCGCTGTCGCCGTCGTCCTCGTCGTTGTCTTCTTTTTTTTTTTTTGTTATTTGCCTCCTTCTTTGTGGTTCCACAGAGAGATGAGAGGGGCTTGGCTGCTATTTCAGAGATTGTTGGGAACTGGAGGAGATTGAGTTGAGACGAATCATCCATCACACACTGCACATAGCTCACACAAAGTTTTTTTTTTTTTTTTTTTTTTTTTTTTTTTTTTTTTTTTTTGTTGTTTGATGGACCACGGATCAGATATTAAACTGATCAGAAAAAAACAGATACTACACTTGATCTATTTTTAGCCAAAAGACCGAGAAAACTCACACAGAGTTGTGCACTAACAAATCTCACATGAGATATGAACTCAAAGGTAGTCTCTGCCAATCTGCTCAAGTACGCGAAATTGTGTTTGCAACTTTGCACACGCTGGGTGGCTATGGCGGCCAGCCAGTCCACATCACACTCAGGTATGGTCCTTGCCTCATGGCGGCCAGCCAGTCCACATACACACTCAGGTATGGTCCTTGCCTCTCTTCTCCTACTCTCAGCCTCACGTTCTCTCTGAATGCAGAGGGTATGTGCGACTCTTGAAAACTGGGCTTCCCGTGAGCTTCAACAATGGCTGCTTGTGTACTTGAAAGTGTCAATTCTTGTCAGATACAGAAATAATGAAGGTACGCGCTGTTCAAGAAGACTGCTTCCCATGAACTGCAATCATGGCTCTCTGTATGCAAGCTATAAATTGCGAAAAAATAAAGGACGCATTGTGTCCTCCAGTGTATACAAGTAACGATTCAGGTCAGATACAGTCATGATGATGGTTCTTCCTGCTATCAAAACTGTGCCTCCCCTGAACCTCGATAACGGTCGCTTGCGTCTCGAAATGTATGCAAGTGACCACCCATTCATGTTGGGGATTTGTGCTGCTGTTGAAAACTTCCTTCCCCTGAACTACGATAAGGGCTCCTTGCATCGTCCAGTGCATACAAGTGGCGAATCTTGTCAGATACAGAAATGATCAGTGTAAGAAACTCTCCTTCCGTGAACTCTCTCTCTCTCTCTCTCTCTCTCTCTCTCTCTCTCTCTCTCTCTCTCTCTCTCTCTCTCTCTCNCTCTCTCTCTCTCTCTCTCTCTCTCTCTCTCTCTCTCTCTCTCTCTCTCACGCACACACACACACACACACACAGACACCATACACAATCCCTCTATGTCCCCCGCCACCAAAATAAAAAATGCGCAGTGGACTGCGTACGGCATATATGCCCTGAATGCGCACGCATCCTATGACCACACCGCACTCTCTGCACCACACCGCACAGGACGCACTGCATAATATTTATATTATTATATAAATCTGCCTCAGCTACGCTTGCGGCACAGAGTGTGGGCGATGTGCCCGAGGACAGTTTGTGTTTGTGTGCTCGTTTTCAGTGCAAGTGGCGCCCTTCCGTTCTTTATTCCCTTTCGTGGTCGCCGCCCGTTTCCGCCCCGTTTCCGCCCCGCGTGCCCGTCCGCCTGCCCCTCTTGCGCAAGGGTGTGCATATGAGGTCATGGATTACCTATCGTCCCCGCACATGTGTTTCTCTCCCACCGGCCAATCTCAAACCCCCCCCCTCCTTTCCCATGTATGCTCATCCGCGCTTATCGATCACCGATCCCCGCCCCTCCCCCACATGTCTTCCACAACCTCATCTCTCTTCCACATGCATGCTCACCCTCGGTTGTCCTTCCTCTGCCCGTTGTCCTCCCCCTCCTCACCGCGCTCCTCCTCTTGCCACTACTCCTCTTGCTCCTCCCGCTCGTGGCCTTTCCGCTCGCCCTCCACTGGTTCGTCGTCCTCCCCCTTCTCCTCCTCCTCCTCCGCCTCCTCCTCCTCGTGGTCTTCCATTTTCTCCTCCCGGTGCTCCTCTTGCCGCTTGCCAGCATCTCCTCCCCGTCCGGTTCCTCTCCCCACCGTCTTCCCCCGAACATAACACACCCTGAAAATGAACGCATGCAAGGCATGTTTCCGGCCTGATGCAGTCAAAATGATGGTGCGTTGTGTTCGGGGGGAAGACGGTAGTCCCCCCTCCTGCTCCCCCGAGCTCCTCCGCCTCCCGTTTGTCATCCTCCCCTTACTCGACTGCGCGATTGCGCCGTGAGGGGCATCGCTCTCTGCTAACCAAATGTGCCAAATGGGAATGAATCTTCCGGTAGAACACCATAAGATACGCTGCCGATTTGTATGCATCCGGTAAAGCCGGTAAGAACATAAGAAACCGAAGTAGAAAACCAAAACTTGTGTCTCTACCCCATTTAAAGATGGGAATACCCGCTATACCCAGTCCCAGCGCGAGCTTGCACCTATACCCTGGAAACAGCGGGTGCAACTTATTTTCAAACCCAAGACTGAGGGCATACTCACACGGGGACCCATAATCCCAAAATCCAAAACAAAAGGGTAAAAGGCCGGTCACACGGATCTACCAAATTCAGTTGGTAAGGCACGCGAGTGGCATTCAGAAGGTCTTGGGTTCAATCCCCATTGCCCTCATGTACCTTCCTGGGGAAGCTTGCCGCCCGCCACCTAGAGATATGCCGTTGGGTCC